TGCTTCTCTATGTGTTCCATCAGCGAATCTGCTACTATGGACTCCATGACTTTGGACAGCACAGGAAGGAGGGTTACAGGGCGGTAGTTAGCGGGATCGCTATGGCAACCACCTTTTTAAATAGATAATATCTCTCTCTGCTTCCATGACGGTGGGACTGTGGTGTAATCGAACATCCTCTGGAATAGGAAGGCTAGTGGTTCGGATATTTGATTCACTAAGCAGATAAGGGTTCGGGGGTGAATATTGTCTGCACATGGCGATGCATTCTTCCTCAAGGCCAATAGCTTTGTTTTAACCTTTTCGGCAGTGAATGATACGGTGGTTAATGAAGGATGTTGAATTTGTTTCATCCTACGAGGGAGGGACATTTGTTCATTAGTTGACGCAGTAAAAACGTGGGCATACTGGTTCTTCAGCATTTCAGCCGGCTTCCATCGTATTGGCTGTGACTCTCCCAGAAGAACTGAGCACCGGTATTCCATGTTTGACTTTTCGGGCTGAGTTAACATGTTTGTACAAAAGCTTGGGATTTGATTGAGCAATTCGTAAAAGGTGATGACCGTCGACCGTGTAGCTCAGGGGTAAGGGTTTGAAGTCCCAACTGGAATATTCGCGGTTTGAGTCCTGACAGGGACACAAAAAGTATGCACTACTGACGAGTCCCAAGCAGGACAAAACGGCTATCCAGTGCACTTTGTCGATTATCACAAACATTTTCATTGTATGTAAATTTATCGGTTCCAATTTGCTTATCTTCCATGGGTAATATGACTTCCACACGTCTGATATTGATCTGATTTGAAAACCGTTCGGTAGTCCGTATTACATCCTTGGAATCCTCCTTATAGTTTGTCGGATAAGCTCAAACGGGTTGTATCAAACATCCCCCTTTGTTTCTGCGAGGATTTATTTTAAATCTGTTTTGCCTTTTTCTATTTTTTCATCGAGATTGACGCTAATCTTTGCTTCATGGTCCTGCTTGCTCATGATAACAATACCCGTGCTACTATCTCCTTTGGATATTGTCACGTGCGGATTTTGATGCACCAATTTTGTATTTCTTAGATGGTTCATTGACACCAAACTTTTAATTGTCTGCATGTTTTCCTCAATTCTGTAGCATATAGTCGCAAAGGTTAATTTCAGCCCTGCTGAGTCTGAGTTGAAAACGGAATCCGATGAGAGCAGAACTACCTAAATACAACGTTCGGACCATGTTGCTCGATTTTTTATCCAGGACAACATAATGATAGTCCTGGTGCCAGAACTTTTACCAAACATTCGACCAAAACTGCGGAAGATAAGTTATACACAAATTTGTTGAGATTTTTCAATAAGTCATTAATAGACTTTTTGGTCTGCTAGAGTCGGTACCGATCTAGTTTTTACTCCATCTGATCATCCATGAACGATTGAATAAAGATATCGAAGTGCTTGCCTTTTCCGTCGATAACAACTTCAGAATGAACTGAGATGATGTTAGGTTTGTCCAGA